CAATACACAATACAAGGAAATCCGATCCTCTTCATCCACTGCATGTGGCATGTAAGCCTGGACATTGAAATAAATGTTTAATTAGGATATTGGATAAGATGTTCTGTATTAATTCCTTTTTAAGGATGATTGAAGTATAACTGTAAAGTGAAATATTTTCATACATCTCATATTTCATGAATGAATTAGTTTCATGCCAAGTTTGAAATAAATGTAAATGTTTCGGCTTGCAAACTTCCCCAAATTTTAAAGAACAAATGACACAAAGATTCTGAAGATTGTGATTTTTACTTTCCAGCAATTTTTCTTTTAAACGAAGGGAAATATTTCATTGATTTTCGTTATTGTTTCTGAAAATTTCTTGGAACAATTCCTATTACCTGTTGCTTAATTGAAATCCGACTTCAAATTAACTGCATATGAATCATGATTGAAATGGATTTGACAAGTTATTAATCATATAAGAAAATAGTGTAAAGAGCAGTTTATACTTCATTAATAAGTTACTTGTTTGAAATTAAGCAACTTGTTATCAGCAATCAACCTGTCAAGCCGATATCATGGTCATTTGATAATTCTTATTTAAATCGTTCTGTTGTAATTTATATTTTTTCTTATCAAAGTAAATAAAGCGTTATGAGTGTTAATCAAACAAAAAAAAAAATGATTGCCCATAATAAGGCAATACTAACTCATTACTACAGATGAAAGTGACAATGTCAAAATCACCGATACATATTATTTGTTGACAGCACGAAATAGCGAAGGATTCGTTTTAGTGCCAAAATATTTTTGTCACAAAAATATTCTCTGTCAAACTATAATTATTACATTTCACATTTGAAAGTAATATTTGAAAATAAAAGCTTATGTGTTTACTGAATCTGTTAATCAATCATGTCAAAATCCGAATGACATTATAAAAATGTGTTAATCAGTCTGAATCATACATTACTTCATTTGACACATTTGACAGATCAATTAAAGCTTTACTTCGATATTCTAAACATTTTGAAATAGAATAAGACAGATTTCACTCAAAATTCTGAATTGGTTTAGTTTTGGAGTGTAAACATTCATATTTCTCATTACAAATCTATTTTATTCTCTTTCATCCCTTGTCACCCCTCCATTGCCACACTTTCACAATGTTTCCCTGTCTCATCGCTCTAAAACATTTTCAAAATTTATTTCATATATATTTGCTCTTCCTCACTTTTCCCTCTTTTGTCTACAAAATGGATTAGACGTGCTTTTTGATGCTTACTAATACTTTGTCTTACTGTTTCATCATCAAGACTGAACTCGTTGACTTAAAGTAAATTAGATATTTTTAATTACTTTTCAATTAATGACATCCAATAGCAAAAAACGGATGATTTACTAATAGCATATGTAACAAAATCGTCTGCCCTATTTTTCCGTATTATCGAAAGGCTAGAGAAAGAAAGGGTCAAGGCAAAGTCCCCAAGGAGAACGAGGCCGATCAAAAATCAAAAATAATCAAAAATAATCCGTCAAAAAATTGCTATTGTTCACTGGTGCTTTCTTCAGTTTGTTTGATTTCATGTCATATGTCTCAAAAATAGATGAATGCTAATCAGGCTAAGAGTACGTCGCAAAAGGACTGATTGGGCCAGGAGCACTTGCACAAAAGGACTGATTAGGCCAGGAGCACTGCAGAAATGGCTGAAACGCAGAGGTGAATTTCTCTAGAGTTTTATTTTCTCTTATCGCTGTTTTATTTAATAATTTTACTTCAGAATTACTTTGAACAGGAAAAAATTCTCCAAAGAAAAAATGACCACACATAGGGACACCATAGTAGGATTTGTTAGCAAAGAGTTGAAAACCATTTAGAATTAAATTCGATTTCATCTCCTGTATAATGCTATTTTTATGAACAAACATGGATTAATTACTAAATTAAGGCCATTTCTTATTGAAATTTATTCAATAAGAGCATTATTTGCTAAAATGCAAATCACAACTTGTTCACTTATTCGTTAATTACGGTAAATCTTTGTTTTTGTCTTGTCCTAATTTTGAATCCATCTGTGATGCAATTCGTTTTTAGTTTTATTTCTCGTTGTAGCCTTTCCCTATGATAATTTTATAGCCAATGCATACAGATGTTACGCAAGGTTTATTGATTTCCTTATTGATACTTATACCAAAATTTAATTTTCATTCTATAACTAATCGTTGTGCGCTTTTTTCAATCAATCAATCACCCAATTTCTGACAATTTAATACTGTTAGGAAACCGTTGGTCAAGGAAATTATTGATGTCCCGGAATCAGTTCAGTGTTTTTAAGATACGAACGAAACATAATTTCATGTTTTATCTTTTTTTTTTATTTAGACATTTCCACACATTTTCTTTTTTATTCGAAGGTTTAAAATTATTATTTTTACTCAATTCATTTCAAATTGAGCTGAAAGCAGGTAGACTTCTTGGAAGGAACAAAGTATTATTCCTAAGAAGACGGCCAACTGGCTGGCTGCTAAATGCATTCATCAGGAGAACAACCCACTGAAAATGAATGTGTGAATTCATAAAATGGTTCCAGGATAATGCTGCTATATGCGTTATTACTACTGTTAAGTGAATATTATGGTCGGGGAGAATTCACCGACCACTTCAACGATTTCTTAAAGAGGAAATATGGGATAAAGATACAAATACTTCTAGAAAGGCTCGATATGGGCCTTGGCCTTTGGGGCAGTTTCGGTGGGAAACTGGATGAAAACGATCCCATAAGCAAAAGAGTTAGTTTGCTATATGCAACCTTTAGCGATTCTATTTCATTGTCCAATTTAATGTTTAACCTGTTTAAAAATTCTATCACTTTTCAGCCAGTACTTTTTATACATGGGGCTCTTTCACGTGCTGCCGTATTCCTGAAACATCGCGAATATTTTATTTATAGAGGATACTCTTGGTCGGAACTTTATGCAACATCATACGGTAACGGGTTAAATTCAGTAATTTTCGATGGTGTTCACTGCAAATACATCAAACAGGTATATAAGCAACTCAAATTTTCTTAGTAAGATGCAATTTCATTCAATAGTAAGCTGGTATGAGAATGCCCTGTTGTCCTTCACTACATTCTGGTGGTATTCTCAATGACCGTCCGATTTTATGTGCATCACTTATTGTTGGAGAAGCCTTTCAGTTTTTTCTTCTTTTTTTCCTTCAAAGTTGCTAATCAGTATGGCCCAATCTGCGCTCATAAAGAAATCCCTTCTTTCATCTTCTCCATGGAATGCACATTACATTTCCACATTACATCTGGTTACACATGCAAAATGAAATCTAACAGTGGGTGGGAAAAATCGATTTAACTCTGAGATTTTCTTGAGATCCTGACTGTAAACTTTTCAGGATGAAGGTTTAGACAGTTTGTAATTTGAATTCTTGAGACAGTGATTATGAGAAACAGAGAGAGTTTCAGACTTCCAAACCTTACATTTCAGATTCGTCAAATGTTATTAGCTGTGAATAACTATACAGGAAAGACTGTCAATATTATAGCATATTCTATGGGTTCAGCAGTTTCGAGGAAGGCTATTCTGGGCTCTTTTTGCTTTGATACTGGTGAATTGCTTGGTGCTTCTTTGACTCACTTGGTACGTTCAACAAATTTCCTGGATTATTTACAATCATATTAAAGCAAAAACTAAAACTTTTGATCTTTGTGTCGAAACACGTTCATGCATTTCCAATTTTGTTTCCCAGAATTTTTATTCATTTTTCACTGAGATATTTGGGAATTTTGTTATTCGAGACTCATTTTAAAGCGTTTGAAATTTTTGTAAACTTGTTGCATGCGGTGGGACTGCCAATTTAGCGATCTTCTGCTCAAAGAAATATTCTGCAAGGATTCGAAATGTCGCTTCTTTTATTCTGAAGATTTTAAACCAGGGATATTTGCAGGTAAATACATTTATAACCGTCGGTGGTACAAATCATGGTTTGCAAATATGTCCTTTAATTTTCCCCCTTTGCGGTAGCATTTCATCTCTACACTGCAACTCCAAACTCATGGTTAGAAAAGAAAATTAATTTCACCGGACTTCAAACGGTCCCTTTGTCTTTGTTTTACCATCAAATTTCTTTTTTAAAGACTGAGGCTTCTAAGTTACTCAGATGTTCAAAGGACTAAAATATAAATATCGTAAGACTAAGTAAAATATAATCTATAGCGACATATTCAAGTCATTTAGTATGTCATGAAATTTTATCTTTCCTCGTCTATATTTCATAAAAATCTCACTTTTTTTTTAAAAAAAATCTCTTTGGTCATATTCATGACAAAGTATTCTAACACGCTAAAGGTCGTTTCCAAGAATTCTTATATTGAGGAAGTGTGATTCTCTTTATCGAAATCTTTCAGAAAGAACTGAATTCGCAACCAAATCGTTTCGAAGGACGTAGCTCTTACGATATATACAGTCTCGACGACTCGATCATTGGCCTCCACTGTTGCAACGAAAGTTGTGGTGTCCTGCCTAATCATAATGCATCTTTTAAGGTCGCTGACCTGGACCACTTTACGCTCCTATCGGAAACTATTACGTTACAACTATCACTTCTGAAACAAACAGACGGACAAAATAATAATAATAGTATCACTAGAATAGCTGACATTAATTCTGAAGATGATATCGAATATAGTTAAAATTAGTCAAATGATAAAATATTGCAAGTAAAACAAAAGATCTCATAGGGGAACTGCTTAGAACTGTTTGAAAAAACAGAAGCATACTGAGGTCCAAGTTGACCTAAAGTTTGTTAAGTATACTGACCTTGTTATTTTAATTTAATTCCAATCCTATTCAAATATTCTATATCTGCTGTATAAAATCTTCAATAGGATTTTTACTTGTATTCTCGGAAATTTTATTTGCATTTAAATAAAGTCCAAATACAGAAATGCAATACTTTTACTAAAACTTTTATGGTTCATATGTTTTAACTTATTGCTTCTTCTGTGTTTTAACCTTTCGATTTGTTCAAACTCCTACAAATACTTGAAGTAATAAATTGCTTAGTTCAGTTGTTAGTTCACGAAAACATAACCTAAAAAGTATTTATCAGATTATAGGGATCTTCTGAAACTTTCTTAAGATTTTCCTGCCTGATAAATACACAATTTTCTCGTGCTACATTACAATTTAAATATAAGTTAATAAATAATGAATTTACATCAATCGGAATAAAAACATTTGTCCAAATTGATAATGTCCAAAAAAATTTCATTAATCTTACTTCTCTTTTTTCTGATCAAATTTTAGCAAACTAAGAAGATTAAATACAGAGGAATAAGCCATTTTCAAGAAAATTGTATGAATGCAAAGGTTAGCAAACATATAGCAAAACGATTACAGTATTTGTTGTCTAAGAAGCTTTAGAAAACGACATGAGATGCAAATTGCTTGAAAAATCATAAAACCATATTACTTTCGACAGACAAGAAAAAATTCACATGTACGGTGAAGTTTTAGTGCGAAGTACTTCTTAGGAGGATTACGGAAGAAAAGAATCAAGAACTGGTAGTAATTCATTCTCGAGTAGCTACCAAATTTCCATAAATAGATCGTCTAGAAATGCTAAAGAACCAGGAAGTCGGTAGTGCTACTATAATTTGTCAAAAGATTTTGATATTGATAGCTTTGGAAATAAAATTTTTCAAATCTTCATAAGCATATCAAATAGTCAAGAAAGTTAGCGGACTGTACTATTGATTGAGTTTGTTCCATCAGATCGACCAATCATTGGGTCATTTTATGACCATTGTCCAGCTGACGTAATCAATTCGAGACATCGCAAACACTTCGTATTAATCAATGCTATCAACCAATGAACTTTAATGATTGACATTTTTTTTGAATTCAAAATTCTAATATTCGAATTAAAATTATTAAAACGTGTCATTTTCATGGCTTAGTTTTCGCAAATTTAAAAGACAAAAATAAGGAATAAAAGAGATCCGTCCTGTCAATATCGAAGAAGAGAACGATATAACAAAGAGATAACGATAGATATAATTACTCATTGAATCTATTTGCTGAATTCTTTAATCTTATTAGAGTGACAAATTTGTCAAACACATTTCCATATTGCTCAGTTTATAATAAATTTTATTAGCAGAACCACAATGTTTCACTTTTACAAACTGCTATTAGTAATAAATAATGAAGAAAACAATAAAGAACAGTAAGCTAAATCTAGTGATATTAGCATCTGAAAGTGATGAATCCAAATGATTGACAATCGAATCCACCAGATTTGAGAAACAGAGACAAGAGCATTAAAGTTGGATGATGTCTGGAAAAATTTGTGTCGTCAGACATTTCATCCTTTCTTTTCTCATCAGACTAAATGAATGACACAAAACTTTTTCCCACTAGTCATCTAAAGATAGCTCAAAAGCTTTCAAGGAGGATCCTTGCTAAGCTTTTCAGAAGTATTTACGATCTACCGATGAATCTCATATTATACCCAAAGTATTCAAATGTTCAGTATGTTTCATTGTCCACGGGTGTTAACTATGCCATCTCATTGGTCATTCATTTGATAAGTGGACAGTGACGATACGTATCGACCACTCGCACAAATAAAATTCCTCAGAAATATTTATGACCCTAATGGATCCACCAGATGCGATCTACCAGGAAGCAACAAAAGAACCAACGAAATATGCATACACAGACGGGAGTACAGTTCTCGTTGAAGAGAAAAAGTTGCAAAGTGAGTATGAATAGGGGTTCATTATCGACTTGCGATGAAAACTCTATCAGGTTGTTGGGGTAGGAGAAGAAACTAGAGGTCAGTAGTAGTGGGATGTGGGTGGTGACAATAAGTGGAGATCTTGGCAGTCTCACTTCTCTTTTTGTACTGCATTTTTCCAACTACCTATAGCAAATTGAACTCAAATTCATGATAGGTATACCATTTGCATCATCTGTGTGGTAATATGCGTATATTACTTGATCTAGATGAACTTTAGATACTTGAAACTGCTACTGAAGTACAGCGAAGACTTTATTGATTATTTACGGAAGATTGATCACTTAAGACACAGAAGACGATTTCCACCACTGAGTTAACATTTTTGGTTGGGAAAACTCGTAGGATATATACCACTATATTAGCTCACACAGTAACCTTTTCCGATCTTTCTAGATTCAGTTTCTCCTATTTCTTCGATTAGCGGTCAAAATGAAAATTTGTCCTTTTCTTCAGGATAATGGCGAATCAGGTTCTAGAAGCATCCAGCAGTGTTTATGCTGGTACAGTAGAAAGGACCAAGAAAGTTGCACCAGTGATTTTCGTAGGCTTTAAAATTTTTTATCTTTGAGAATAATTAATAAAAAGTATCATAAAAGATTTGTTTATTATTTGGTCATTTTTGGTGAAGATTCAGATGTTTATACGTATTAGGAAGAAGATGTCGGGTTCGAGGAGGATATACTCAAAAATCCGTTTTCACTTCGAAGCTGGTTGAGATATATCGAACACAAGAAGAAATGTAAAGCACCATTAAAACAAATCAACCTAGTGTATGAACGAGCTTTAAAGGAACTTCCGGGCAGTTATAAGCTATGGTATTAGTCGCTTTTTAATATCATGCATAGTTTTTGTGCTCGACTTTTATAAATTTTGTTTCCACAAATCTACTAATCGAGCTTTCTCTTACGAAATGATTATCCACAGTTTTCTACCCTAAATGAAGTTAATCGTAATAGCTATTTCTTTAATATGCATAAATTTAAATACTTTCTGTGTAAATTTAGTTGAGGTTTGTGTATTACTTCAAACCCAGTTCTCGCTGCTCCGCCCTCTCTTTGCTTTTGCCTTCTGTATTTACATTTTTCATTTTCGTCACAACAGATATGAAGTTTTTAGGTGTAATTATCTTAAAATTGTTAGGTACAATTATCTTCGATTTCGTCGGAAACAGGTGATAGATAAATGTCCTACAGATCCAGCATATAAGCACGTTAACAATGCCTATGAACGAGCTTTGGTTTTCATGCACAAGGTTAGATAATTTTGCTTAAAAAATTTGAACACCACTATATCTATTTGCAAATTGCGTCGCAAGCTCGAGTAGATGATTTAGAGATTCTTTTGAACCAGAGTTATTTCTTTTTCTCTCCGCACAAATAGTGTTTAAATTGGTCCAATGAATTTCAAACCATTGTATTTCGCAGTCGACGAAGTTATTTTATTATCAATAACAGCAGTTTTAGATGCCTCGAATATGGATGGAATACTGTGAATTTTTAACATTACAACGTTTTGTGACACAAACTAGACGAGTTTTTGATCGTTCCCTGCGTGCACTACCAGTTACTCAACATGATCGAATTTGGCCGCTTTATATCAAGTTTGTTACAAGCCATGAAATTCCGGAAACGACAATTAGAGTTTACCGGAGGTAGGCTATTGGTTTTTGTAGATTTACAGGCTGTTGCAGATCTGCTGCCCTAGATAAGTAATTTCCTTTGCATTTCTCTCCAGTGAAAGACTTTCCGATACAATTGAAAGTGAAAGACAATTGAAAAGTATATATCGGGAAATCTTTAATTTTTACCAACATTTGGATAATGTAGTTAGAGGTCTAATGATTGCTAACCTTTTTAAAGGAAGTGATTAAACAGCAATATTTTTCATGTGCTTCTACCTTTGAAAACGTTTCTCTGAATTCGTATTTGTGATAGGTATACCATTTGGATCACCTGTATGGTATTATGCTTGCATTACTTGATCTAGATGAATTTTAGATATTTGAAATTGCTACCAAAGTGTCGCGAAGACTTTGTTGATTACTTACGGAAGATTGATCACTTAGACGATGCTGCTCAGCAGCTTGCCATCCTTGTGAACGATGATAAACCATATTCCGAGCATGGCAGAACAACTCATCAGGTAATTGTCCTGCTTACTTCTGTCCGTGATTCCCAATTTTGTGCATAAACCTGTGTTATCAGCGTTGTATATTTATTTATCTGTTTCCTCTTTCCAGCTGTGGACTGACCTCTGTGAATTGATTTCGAAGAATCCCAATAAAGTGCATTCATTGAATGGTGATTCAATCATACGACAAGGCATACAAAGGTTAGCTTGCATAGCAATATTAAGTAGAATTTAAATTTATCTTACTAATCCTAGTAACTGAATCACATATATTAGAAATTTAGGTACATAAAGACATATTTCAGGTATAGCGATCAGGTAGGACTTCTCTGGTGTTCACTTGCAGAGTATTATATTAGAGATGGACACTTTGAACGGGTTAGGATTTTGTTATACATTTTTCTTTCTTAACACACTTTGTTTTACTGCGGTAATTTTTATGCTGTGTCTCCATACGACATTTTTATGTCATATCTTTCAATTACATTATGAGAATTTTATGCTGACCTAACAGAAAGTCGTCTAACAGAGCTCTGTTAGGTCATTTTGAAGCAGTTCTTAATATGTGGTTTATTTGTAGGCAAGAGATGTGTATGAAGAAGCACTGGTATCAGTCAAAACTGTGCGGGACTTCACGCAGATATTTGACGCCTATGCCAAATTTGCTGAACGTGCAACAGCAGCAAAAATGGACGAAATAGATAATGAAGACATTGTAGCTGATGAAGAACAGCAATTGGAATTGGAGCTTCTCTTTGCAAGGTATTCTTTTTCTTATATATTCATAATTTGATTTAAGCATTATTTAGTATTATATTATTTGCGAAGCTTATATTAACGGCATTGTGTTAAAAAGTAACATTCTAATCTTACATTCACAGTTAATATAACTCTTTTAAATCACAGTAGTATTTATTTATGACGTTCTTTACCCGCCGCTAAAGAAAAATCCTGCGGAATAGTTAATTTCGAAGTCATTAAGTTCTAAAGGTTACTGCCGCAATGTTCTTTAGATTTGAGCATTTAATGGACCGTCGACCGCTTCTTTTAAACAGTGTCTTGTTGCGTCAAAATCCTCATAATGCATATGAATGGTTAAATCGTGTCCGGTTATATGAAGGCAATAAAAAGAAGGTATGACTGGAATAAAAATGCTCATTTCAAGTTATTTTGCTTTTTCATATCTCTGATTTTCAAAAGTTTGCTATCGTAGAAATTTATTTATGTATTTCTTTATAGATTATTTTTTGAATGCCATTTTATTTAAATTTAGCTGTATTATAATTTATAGCAAATCGAGACATATGAACAAGCTGTGCAAACAGTGCAACCCAAACTACAAACGGGGAAGTTATCAAATATTTGGATAAGTTTCGCAAAATTTTATGAACAAGAGGACATATTGAGCGAAGTATGTTTTATATCGAGTTATACCGTTCTGTTCATTATTGACATTTTTCACAAATTGTCTGTCGATGCAATTTTTATTTTACCATTCAATCAGAGAAGCTGACAGTTAAAATTTAGCAATTTTTACCAAACATTTTTTGCATGCTTTGCACTCGAGCAGCCATTTGCAGGCTAGATTAATATTTGAAAAAGGACTGAGGCCTGAATATACCAAGGTAGATGATCTTGCGTCGGTTTGGTGTGAATACGTTGAATTTGAGCTACGCCACCGGTTAGTTTCCAGTATAATGCATTTCCTATTATTAATTTCTCCGTTGAATTGTTGCTTTATAATTATTGATTGTTTTTTCATCATAGATAGCTGCACTGTTTATATCTTAACTTCGTTCAGGGATCCTGAAAATGCTAGAAAGTTAATGCAACGAGCAACTGCTATGCCACCTCGAAAAACTCATTACTTTGATGAAACTGAACCAGTTCAGAATCGGCTATACAAATCTTTGAAGGTCACTGAGTTCAGCTTGCATATAATGTTTTTGATGCACAGTTCTATCAAGACCTTCAATTTTTCAGTCTTATTTATTTTAAATAACTCAAACCCCAGTCGTAAATCTTCTCTGTTCTTAATCGAACATTCTTGATTTTCCTTGTTTTAGAATCATCGAATTCATGTCAGAAAATAAAAATGAATTCAGATTTGGTCTTTGTATGCTGATATCGAAGAAGCATTTGGTACTCTTGAAAGTTGTCAGGCTGTTTATGAAAGGATTATTGATTTACGGATTGCTACTCCACAAATAGTGGTTAATTATGCTAAATTTTTGGAAGAAAACAATTATTTTGAGAACGCTTTCAAGGTAGGCATTCACCAATTTTTATTAAGTGAAAACCTTAATGTTGCATGATACTGCGTAATTTTATGACTTCTTTCAAATAATTTATTTGATTATTTGTTTATAACTTCACATTTTAAATGGTATTTTGTTAATAATGTTCAAAAGAAATGAGACAGCCATACATTAACATATAGCTGGCCGAAGATGCTGACATTGTTTTTTAGGCCTACGAGAAAGGTATAGCACTGTTTAAATGGCCAATTGTCAATGAAATTTGGACCGTATATTTGGTTAAATTTCTAAAACGATATGTATGTACTAATTATTTCTAATCACCTTAGTAATTTCAGATCTCTTAAACAAAAAATTCTAAGTCATCTCTAATTGATAGAGTCTTTTTTTTGTAATTTTTTGTATTTAAACCATTTATTTTTTTCGAAGGGTGGCAAAAAATTGGAACGTGCGCGCGATCTCTTCGAGCAGTGTTTAGAAAATTGTCCACCAAAATTTGCGATGAGTAAGCATTTTAAATCAATCTAAAAGATTACCCATATTTTTATAGTAAGTTTTTGGAATGCTATTACTCATGGTTTTGTTATTGTTTGGCAGTGATATATTTCGAGATGTTTCTTATTTTATTTCATTTTAATGCTGTAGTAGACATGTTCCAATTCTGTTACTGACAGCGTGGATAGCACACTTAAGAAAGCAGTCGCAATTAAGAAAGAAACTGATATTTCTCAAGTTTATTCTAGAGCTTTATTTGCTGTATGCGAAGCTGGAAGAAGAATATGGTTTGCCACGGCACGCAATGAACATTTATAATCGTGCGACCGCTGCAGTTGAAAAACATGAAATGTACAATGTATGTTCTTTTTTCTTCTCATTCTGTAAAATTAGTCCTCACATGAAATTTTCTACTTAAATTCTGAAGTGTTGTGATCGAAATATGATTTTATGCAAAAACTAGTCTTTCATGGAATATCGATATCTGAATTTACTTATTTACAGATGTTCAATATCTACATTAAAAAGGCGACTAGTATGTACGGTTTAACATTTACAAGACCAATATTTGAGCACGCTATTGAAGTTCTTCCGGAAGATCAGTCCAGGTATTACATCGTTTCCTTTTTTCATTATCGTTTTTTCTTATAACTCTTTCACTCTTCAGCTAATTTCCACTTTTGAAATTAAATTCTTATTTTCAATTTCTCAAGGGAGATGAGTATTCGATTTGCACAAATGGAACGAACACTGGGTGAGATTGATCGAGCGCGGGCAATATATGCTCACTGCTCTGAAATATGTGATCCTCGGGTAAGCGAATTCTTTCGAAATTTTTGCTGAACTAAAAAAAAATACTGATTAGCTATCTCTAATATCCAATTTCAACACTATTAAAACTATTAAAATGGCAAACATGAATGTTTAAAGCAAAGTAGTAGGGAAACTGTTGACCATTTTTGTATCGATATAGAGTAAATGTTGTAATCTGTCGCAGTTAAATAGGATAAATTTTCATCCCACATAATTTTGCTTGTTCACTTTTCATGCTTATTTCAGGTTCATGGTATGTTCTGGGAAATTTGGAAAGAATTTGAAGTGAAGCATGGTAATGAGGATACGGTAAGGGAGATGTTGCGTATAAAAAGATCTGTACAAGCAACTTACAACACAAACGTCAATATCATGAGTGCACAG